ATTTTCAAGGTTAGAAACGAAGGTAGATAACGAAAGGAAGGTAGGTAAAAGAAAAAAAAAAAAAAAAAAAGAAAAGAAATCTGCATCTTCTAATTTTCCGCGCGATCGGATATCGGTCGAGGCGCGGTTTATCCCCACGCATCGTGGAACGGTGCAAGTATACATCCTCGCGGGTGTAACGTTTCGTCGACAAAGATGGAATGACATTATCTCGTGCGTGTCTCGAGCTTAACGACCATCTAAAGTTTGATGGAATTTACTTCGTGATCCACCGCTTTGTGAAATATTTCCACGGGAATTTTGCGATGGGACGTAATAACTTTTGCTTTCCACGCGATGAATACGTACGTTCACGAGGAGAATCGTGAACCGATGTCGATCTGTAATTCATTCGGACGATCGAAATTTCGTTTCCGAGAAGGATTCCTTCTTCTCTTTGATCGAGTTGATCAACTTTAATTCTGTCGAAATTTTTCGAGTAGAAATGATCGTTGAGGGGAGGACAAGATTTTTGGAATGGATCGTTGGAATATAAGAAAGAGAAGATATCGTGTTTTCAAACCTATAACGTGTAATATAATTCGAGATTAATAAAATTCGTATCGCGAGGCGTTCGTTCGAAGAATAAAAAGAAAATAGAAAAAGGAAAAAGCGAAGGAAATCTCGGCGACGTACAAGCCAAAGTTATAAATAACGTTTTGCGTGACGAGCGTGCCTTTGCAGACGCGGGACCATTCATCAGCAACGCCTCGCACGTGAGCTCGCCGATAACGACGCCCTACCGGAGGCAGACTCGATCGGTCGATGAAAGGGGCTGCCTGACGAACGTAACCGCGAATCAGTCGCCTCGTCGCCGAATCTCGTCGATTCTCGATCCGTTCCATCGGTTTCGGAAGGGGGAGGGGTCTACCAGTTGCCAGTTACGGGAAATAAATGGAAAGTAAACAAAACGAAACGAAGCTTGGTCGATCGATCCCTTTTACGTTCTTAATTGTCGTACAAAAAAACTCCCTCTTCCTACCCTTATCTCTCTTTCTCTCTCTCTCTCTCTCTATCCAATCTCTGTCCAATTTTTCCCTCGACATTCATCGACAAACATCGGCGTGTAACTTCATCTCGATCTCTGTCCTCTCCGTTCTCGCGATTAAACATCACGCACGACACCTAATCGATTTAATCATCCTCCTCTTCGTCAAAGATTTTCACAATTCCCTACATAACGTCCCGCGACTTTTATCGCGTTTTCCACCAATGGTCCAACGGCCGTAAACACGGGTGTAAACCTTCGCCCCGACCCGTTCCCATCCCCAATCCCATTCCATTTCGGTCGGTCACCACCGGATCGAGGCCACGCATCGCAAATTAACGGGACGATAAAAATTCGCCCCCCGATAAAATTCGACCGAGAGAGAGAGAGAGTTATTTATTCGGAAAGTAGGCGATCCCGTGATCCTCCCTCTCCTCCTCCCTTCCCTAGCGAGAAGACACCCCTAATTTCGAACGCGCGTGCGCCGTCGCGAGCGACGATTAAGGCAAATTGCGGAAACGAGGGTCGTGCATAAGTTTCAGGGAGAACGAGGTTCGATGAACCGGGCGATAACGAAGCTGGTGGCCTGGTGTGTACACGCGAAATCCGGAGGAAGCGAGGAGGAGGCGGATTAGCGGCCTGTCGAGGCGAACGTTTGTCTCCACGGTGGAAAAAAAGTGTTCGACCTTGTTTTTTTTACACGCCAAGATTTTCGATATTTCGAAATTGATGCCGATAACAAGCTCTCTCCTCGCGAGAGTTCTCTCGCGTTATTTTATCGGCGCGACGCACGAACATTTCCGCACGAAATTGAAAAACACGCCTGGCTGGCGCAGCTGGATTCACGTTACCCGCGCGAATTCTTCAACGACATGGTTCGCATTCGATCTCGTCTCGTCGCTTTTAAATGATTTTTTCCGAGTGGAGGGCGCGGTGTTTGTCAGCGGAACGGCATCCCTTCGACACTTTGCCAGGAAATTGAATAGGAAGAAACGAAGTAAACTTGTTTCCTGCCTTTCTTTCCACCCACGGTGCAATTAATTCCCTGATAATAATCGATCGT